TTTTTCCCCCTTTGCACTGAGCTATACCCCCAGCATGTTGTTGTTGTTGTTGTTGTTGTTGAGACAGGGACCTGCTAAATTGCCAGAGCTGGGCTTGGATTTATGCTCCTCCTGCCTCAGTTTCCTAGAGGACTGGGATTCCAGACATGTGCCACCACAGCCAGCTCAAGTGGGGTTTCTAAAATCCAAGGACAGCAGGAGCACTGGGGCACCAATGTAGCTTGTGATACAAGTGATGTCACCCAAGAGTATCGTTGGGGTCTCGGTGCAGGGCCTGCCTCCGCCTCTCTTCAGAGTCCTCCCTCAGGGCAGTACAGTCGCCTGTTGCAATCCCTGTGGGTCTGGAAGAGCTCACCAGGGACCCAGTCTGGGCCTGGGATTCAGGTCGTGGGGGCAGGGGCTGGAGCCCAGGAGATAAGACCCGCCTAGCGACTGTTGCTAGAGGCGAACAGCCTTTGTTACCGAGCATTAGTAACACAATAGGAGATCGAACAGCCAGGATAGTCCATCAACTTCGTCTCCAGGCCCTGAATTAGCCCAGGACTACGAAGGGGGAGGTGACGCGCGGCTCAGCAAAAGAATTCCAGGGCAGACTGTTTTTAGTTGTTAATATGTCCGTGGCCCCCCTCCTCGGCCTAATGGGGGCATTAAGGCCTAGACTCTCCATGGCCAGAGGCTTTGTTCCTGGGCCGGGCCAGAATAAACAGCCACATCCCATCCCCCTCAGCCTCAAATTGAAGCTGAAATTCTAGCAGCTGCCACCTGGGGGTGGGGGAGCCGGAGCCCCCCTTCCCCCGGCTGGGGCACAGCTCGGGGGTGGGCAGGTCCCCGGGCCTCTCCACCTCAGGCTCCAGAAGGACGGGGGAAGGTGGAATAGGACCCCAGAGTTCTGCCCTTCCCTCTCTCCTTCAGCCCAACTTCCCTGCAGCTCCCTGCAAACACATCCCCACCACACACTCTGAACCCAGCTGGGCCCTGCACCCTCTCTCGGGTTCCCTCTGCCTCCTGCTGGTTCTGCTAGAGACACGGGTTCCCTCTCCACTCCCCAGAGTTGCCCAAAAGAAGCTGGTCCTTGCAAAAGGCCTTTCCCTTCCAGGAAAGCAGCCAGCTCAGCTCATCCTGGGTTTGTCACTTCCCCTCGCATATCAGCGGGATGCTGAGAGCCTACACAGGAGACAAGCACCCCATTTTGGAGCCTTGATCGCTTTCCAGTTACCCCTGACAACCCATGTGGCCTTGATCAAGCTCTCTGACCTTTGGCAGCCTCAGTTTCCACATCTGTGAAATGCGCTGCTATCTTCTTAAGTCAGGTTTATTGTGTTTTGTAAAGGTCAAGGTGACCTTTCTCCAACTGTGTCTGAAGCAGGCAATGTGCATTCGAATCACCAGGAGGGACTGAAGGACTGAAAGGGGAGTAGTAATGAGCCTCACAGATCCCAGGCCCTACCCCCCAGCACAGAATTAGCGCTTTTTTTTTCTCAGTATCAGGGATTGAACTCAGGACCTCGTACTTTCCAGGCAGAGGCGGTGCCACTGAGCTAAATCCGCAGCCCCCACCAACACAGAATTAAATCCTCAAGGTCCAGTCTAAAACAGGTTTTAAACAGCAACTCTAAATTATTTCTTGGGCCAGGATTTAGCTCTGGCTCTGCCACCTGCCTCGCAAGCGCAAGGTCCAGACTTCAGTCCCCCTTACCAAAAACAAAAATTTATTCCTGTGCATCCCAAGAAGCCCCGGGAATCAAACTCAGGACCTTGTGCTTGTCAGGCAGGTCCAGTGCCACTGAGCTGCATCCCCGCCTTTCCAAGGAGATTTTAAAGTTTCTGTTTTTGTTTATTTGTAGTGCCCGGGATGGAACACAGGGCCTTGCAAGCACTCTGCCCCTGAGCTACACCCTGGCCCCCATACCACAAGCCTGAGGACCCCCAGCATGTATGATTACCTCATGCCGTCTTCTGGGGGTGCCCTGCAGCATGCGATCTGGTGCCAGTATGGGTTTGCCCGCAATCTAGTTGGGAAATCAGGGTTTACATTCAATGGTCAAGTGACACACTCAGCACCTATGGGGTGCGGGAATGTCACAAAGGGACTGAGACGCTGGTGCAGTGCCACATACTCCTCATTCCAGTTGCTCAGGAGGCACTTTTTTGAGGCCCTGTCACAAAATAGAGGGAAGTGTGGGGCTGGGAGGTATCTTGGGGTAGAGCATTAGCCCAGCATGTGTGAAGCCCTGGGCTCAATCCTCAGTACTGTAAAATTAAAAAATGAATAAAGGGGGCTCAGGAGTGAGAAGCTGAGGGGGTGAAGAAGGTACTGGCTGAGTTACTAAGGAGGTACCCAGAAAGCACCAAGGACCTAGATGGGGGGAGTCCGTGCTAGGACAGAGGAGAGTTTCTTTGGGTCTTACAGCTCCAGCTGGCCAAGAACTCAGGGGAATCCCCCTGCGTCAGCCTCCCAAGCACTGTGATAACAGGCCTGCGCCACCACACCCAGCTGGAGAGAGGAGTTTCCAAAGCCTGGAAATCAGATGTTCTTTGAAGAGCAATTTCTTCCCTACCTGGGCCAGGCCCCATGCCCACTCAACTCTTCCAGAAATCCTTTTCTCAGTGGAAAATGGAGTAGACCCTCCCTTTTCTTTTAGGATTATTTGTGCCAGGCCTTATTTACTCTGATCACAAACCCGGTGAAAGCTCTACTCAGGGGCAAAGGTGAGGCTCCCTCTCACTTCTCAAAAACTCTGTAACCGAGTCGGGCTGTGGCTCAGTGGCAGAGCACTTGGCTAGCATGCGCAAGGCCCTGGGTTCCAGCTCAGCAGTGGGGGAAACAAACTCCAGGTCTGCATGCAGGGGGTTCAAACAGAGAATGCACAGCAGACCCAAGTGGTGAATGCAGAGTAGCCTGGGACATGGGACTCTCTTGGGTCCACTTCCAGGGGAGGCTTCCTGAGGACACGTGTGTGCATGCACGTGTGTGTGTGTGTGTGTGTGTGTGTTTCCATTCAGGGAAAGGGACAGGGCTCCACACAGGGAGATGGAACAAATAGTGCTAGAGGGGCCTTGAAGGCTTCAACTCAAACTAAAGGTAACAAAGTGACGGAAGTCTTAATCAGAGCTTTTTAAAAAGAAACAGTGTAAAATATCATCCACCTTACATTGCACTGCTTCCACAACATTTGTTTCATTTTATAGATGGATATGGATACATGTGAAAACAATGTCTCAGCAGGCAATTTATTGTAGCCTCCCCATCCCTCTCCCAGGAAGAGGGTGAGAACTTCCATCAAATTTTCCAGAGGTTAGGAATAATGTTACTGACTCTGAGTTTCTGGGGCTCAGTGACCGGGCTCTTTGGGGTCTAGCTCAGCAAACAATCTCCTGACTGTACCTGGGCTTTGAGGAGGGAATTTCCTCACTGAGAAGCACAAATGTCTGGTCTGATAGCTTTCTCTGAAAACAGAGTTCCCATTGGCTTATTTATTTCTTCTAGTTCTTAGGAATTTGATCATTGTTAATCAGTCTCCTGGCACCCTATGACTTCTGAGTATACAAACAATAAAGTTTCTGAGCCTGCAAAACCACAATGCTGCCACCCTGTGGGCCCTTCTACAAGCCTGAAGATCAGTCCTAAGGCTTTGTATACTCAACAAATATTTTAGCCAGACCTGGTGGTGCATGCCTGTAATCCTAGCATTCTGGGAGGATCACTGGTTTGAGTCCCACCTGAGCAACATAGCCAGACCTTGTTCAGAATGAAAAACTTAAAAAAGGCTGGAAAGTAGCTCAGTGCAAAGGCCCTGGGCTCAATTCTCAGTACCAAAATAAAATAAAATATCAAATAAAACCTGTTATTCTATGTGGATCCCCTGCCCAGAAACTCTTGGCCTTAAAAACTTGTAACTTGGGCCGAGGATTTAGCTCAGTGGTTTCGCTGCCTGCTGCGCAAGTACAAAGATCCAAGTTCGATCCCCGGTACCGAAAAAAAAAAAGAACTTATAACTCTCCCAAATATTTGCCTTTGTATAACTGGCACATAGCACAGTGCCAGGCATGGAGGAGAACCTTGCAGGTGTTTGATGAATAGGTGAAAGAAGAAAAAGAAAGAAGAAGGGAAGAGGACAGGGAGAGGGAGAGGGAGAGGTTGCGGAAAGGCTGGGGCAGTGAATTGCAAGAGGGTCTCACCTCAGGTCAAGAGTTGAACTTTTATCCCCCAACAGTTGGGAACCACACGTGCAGAAAGTGTAGACTTGAAAGTATAGAATCACACGGGTGGAAAGGAAGGTTACAGAAGGTAGGGGCAGGGGCAGGGATGTAGCTGTGTGGTAGAGCATGTGCTTTGTGTATACAAGGCCCTGGCTTCCATCCCCAGGACCTGCAGGGAGGGAAGGTGGGAAGGAAGGAGAGAGGAGTCCAGTACAGACTGATTTGGGGGGAAGTCTTGGAGGGGCACCATCAATGCACTGAGGTTTGGACCCAGAGCAAATGAGGGTGAGAGAACCCCAGCCGGGAGGAAGGGGTGGCCCTCCTCACAGACTCCTTAGCAACCCTTCCCCGAGCTCCGCGGCAGGACCCTCACGTGGGGCTGTGGGACCTTGAAGACAGCACTTCTCGCAGCCTCTCTGACAGCGGACGCTTGTCTCCGCAAAGGGCCTGCAGGGAGTCATCCATCCCCACTGTGTCATGCAGCCAGCTCCATGGGTCATACTCACCAACTGTCCAGTACCAAGAGCACTGTCCTTGGTGACTTAGGGATCTAAATCTCCACATGAAAGGGAAAGGCCAAGAAACGTCCAGGAGTGAGGCACGGCTCAGTGGCAGTGACAGTCTGCCTGCGCTAGCCCAGTCCAGGGCAGGGTCTGGTGTTCAGTGACCCTGGAAAGGCCCAGGTCCCTTTACACCAGAGACCTGGGCAGACAGCAGAGGGCACTCGACCCCCTACGCGGTGGGCTCGGGACAGCAGGCAGAGCAGAGGGGCTGAGAGGAGAAGGGAGGGCTGGGCTCACCGGCATCAGCCTGGTTCTGATCTCCAGGAAGAGCACTTTGTCCTGATAGAACTCCTTCAGGGCCTGGAAGATGTAGTCTTTGAACACCGGGGCGTGAAGGACAAGGCCAGAGATGGACATGAAGATGCGCTGAAGCTTTGTCCGCAGGGCATCTTGACTGGAGTAAGTCCTCTCAGGGTTCTTGGTCACAAGACTGAACACCCGCTGCAGGCTGCACGACAGAGGGGGAGCTAATGGCAAGGTGGTGTAGCACGAGCCTAGCACGCCACGCCCAAGACCCTGGATCCCATCCCCAGGATTGTGCCTCAAACACCAAAAAACAGAGGGGGAATTAAGGAAGCTGCAGACTGTTGTCTCCAAGCAACTGTAAGATTCCTGTTCATCAGAAATCTCAAACTCAGAAGCAAACCAGGCGCATCCTAGTGAGAGGAGACCCAGGAGACGGCAAGAGAAGCACACCCAGCTTTCTCAGGCAAGCCGGTCCCTACTAAGAAGCCGGCTGCTTCCTCTAAGGGCCTTGAGAGTCAGCGGGCAACTGGGCTCTCCCATTCTCCTTCCACATGTTTGGCTGATCTGACCACATTGTACTCAGATCCTAGACTGAGCTCTCTCTGGTGTTTACAGACTGAATTGTGCCCTCACTCCCCAAATTCCTGTTGAAGCCCTAACCTTCCATGTGACTATGTTTAGACATAGAGCCTTTTAAGGAGATGTTTAAGGTTAAATAAGGTCATGAGGGTGGGGCCGATCCAATAGGACAGAAGAGGAGGAAGAGACCCCAGATGCATGTGTAGGCAGAGGGAAGCCCACCACACAGCCCTACCACATGCAGGTGCCGGCATTCCTAGGTGAGCGCACACAAGAGAACCAACCCTGCCTGCACCTTGTTCTTGGACTGCCAGCCTCCACAACCGTGAAATAATTCATTTCTGTTGTCTGCTAGTCAGTGGTGTTCTGCCATGGCAGCCCAGGCAGAATAAAGCAGGGCATGGTGGGAATAACTCTAGACTTGGCACTCCAAGAGCCAGGTTCCAATCTCCGGTTGGTCATGTAACAGCAGTGTGGCCTTGGGGAACTAGTTGTCTTAGTCTTGCAGAGCTTCTTGCTTCTCGCTTTATAAAGCGAGATAACCATACTTATACCATTACTGTACAAGTCCCTAGGAAAATGCTCCAACCAGGGATTTAGCTCAGTGGCACAGTGCCTGCCTTGCAAGCACAAGGTCCTGAGTTCAATCCCTGGTACCAAAAAAAAAAAAGTGCTCCATTGGGTGCTCCCAATGGCTTTGCCAGCAAGGACCCCACACACACTATATTGCTACCCCTTCTAGTGTAAAGGATGCTTGATTACTTTTTATTATCAACCCTCCTTTGTTGATGATGATGTTGTTGGTATTGGGTGTGGAACCCAGGACCTAATATGCTAGGCAAGCTCTCTACCACTGAGCTACACCCCCCAGCCCTTTAAAAAAAGTTTTGCTAGGCATGGTGGTGCATGCCTATAATTGCAGCAGCCCAGAGGCTGAGGCAGGATGATCCCTGAAAGTTTGAGGTAAGTCTGGACTATATAGTAAGACTCTGTCTAAAAAAATGTACTGGGTTCTGCCACCTGCCTTGCAAGCACAAGGTCCCGAGTTCGATCCCTGGTACAAAAAAATGTACTGGGGGTGGCAAAAAGTGTTTAATTAATTAACTAAAATTCTTTCCTGTTGAGACAGGGTGTTCTTGTTCCCCAGGCTAGCCGTGAACCTGCGGTTCTCCTGCCTCAGCCTTCCTAGTAGCTGGAATTACAGGTGTGTGCCACAGTGCCCAGTTGCCTGATCTCTTCAGATCTCACCAGATCTGGGCTTGCAGAGGGGGAAAGACCCGGGCTGGTCTGTGACAAGCGCTTCTGGGCCACGGCTCACCTCTTGTCGAACTCAATGACGTCCTTGGGCTTCATCTTTTTTCGAAGCTCCTCCATTGAGAACCACTGTGAACACTCTCTGGTCTTAGGGTTTCGGGGAGGTGGGTTGGCGAACTTGAACAGCAAGTCTCCCCTTTGAGTGGCGCAGAAATAGCAGTGGGGCCTGTAGGTGATGTTCTTTACCACCCACTCCGTGCTCACCAGGCTGAATTCGTGGAGGTGTAAGGCAGCCCCTGGACAAGGAAGAAGAAAGCAACAGACAAAGGAGGTGAATTCCCCTCGCCCAGGATTGGGGCCCAGGAAGAGCCATGCAGGAAACAGGAATCCCAGGAAAACACGAGGGTTTCTGTCTGGCCAAGTTCCTGGGACTTGAACACAATGTACCTTTCTCTTCCAGGACCTCCTGAACCTATTTCTTGCCTTTATTGCTCCAGCATGGCCAAAGCCTTCTTTACTATAGTTAAAAGTGGGGCTTCTAGGTGGCTATAGTGGCACCTATAATTGCAGCACTCTGAGAGGCTGAGGCAGGAGGGTCACAAATTTGGACAATTTAGAGACGGCCTTGTTTCAAAAAGGAAAAAAAAGAAAAGAGTGGGGTTTTGAGGGTTCTCCTTTTCTGTAGTCCGAAGGCCTGGGTGGTCTCATTCAAGAGGGGCTGCATGGTAGGGTGAGAGGGTTTCAGGCTTGGAATCATGAGACTGGAGTTCAAATCAGGGCTCTGTCAGTTTCTCCCTCTCTGCTCGAAGCCAGAGCCTAATTTAATCCAAGCCTTGCCACCTAACGTTGCATGAAGGGTTGTAATAAGGTCAAGCCCAGGCCCCATCCTGCTGCCGCCCTTGTGCTTAGCGCTCTTATCTTTACACACTTGTCCTTTTTTTTTGAGATGTTGCCTCACTACTTATTTCAGGACGGTCTTTTACTTTTCTTTTTTCTTTTTGGTACCGGGGATTGAACTCAGGACCTTGCACTTGCCAGGCAGGTGCAGCGCCACTGAGCTACATCCCTGGCCCTCACTATGTCATTCAGGCTAGCCTTGAACTCACTATGTAACCCAGAGTGCCCTCCAACAAGCAGTGATCCTCCTGCCTCAGCTTCCCTAGTGCTAGGATTATGGGCGTGTGCCACCACACCTGGCCAAGCAGCTGTTTTGGGGGGTTTTTTTTGGCTTTTTTTTTTTGGTACTGGGGATTGAACTCTGGACCTTGTGCTTACAAAGCAGGCACCAGAACCACTGAGCTATATCCTTGACCAGCAGCTGTTTTTTGGTGTTTTTTCTGGTACCAGGGATCAAACTCAGGTCCTTGCAGGAGGCGGCAAAACCACGGAGCTAAATCCCCAGCCCCAGTAGCTGTTTTTTTAAATAAATTTTATTTTATTCCTTTGCCCCCCTCAAACTCCTCCCCTTAAAAAAATATATATATAGCAAAACATTTATTGGCACACTTTAGACCTACATAATGATAACACTCGTAGGGAATTTGTACCATATGCAATACCTCCCGCCTCTTTTTTCCCCATCCCCTCTCCCCTCAAGCCCTTCTCCCCTCCCTATGCACAAAATAAGCAGCTATTTTAAATTAAATTTTGGAGCTGGGGGTGGAACCCTGGGCCTCATGCATGCTAGGCAAGAGCTCTATCACTGAGCTGCACCCTCGCCCAGCAAGCAGCTATTTACATGTGCAGGATTACGGCTGTTTCACCATTCACAAGAATATGCTCTATCGCACTAGGATGCTTTTCCTATTGCCCCTGGAGAAAGGGCAGAAGACAGGCTTGTGAGGAAGTCATACAGGGAATGACAGTGTTCTCTGGACTGAAACCATCTCATAGTGCGATGCTCGTCTAGCCTTGCTAGGAGACCAGGGTCCCCAGGCCTGCTCTTCCCTGTCTCCTAGGCTGCATCCCCAGTGAAGCCAGACTTCTGATTTCTAGGTAAAGCCACCCCCTTCCTAGTTTGCCAATGAGAGCAAAGAGCACTGTAGCTGATGGACGGACGTTCTCTCTACTCCACGTAGGATAACAACAGCTCCAGTGTAAGGTCCCCCGTACCCCAGCACCCCATAACCACCCCTCTCCACATCTGACCTTTTGGCATCTTCTGTAGAATATGAAACACCTTGCTGTTCTCGATGAGGCTCTTGGCCCAGAAGAAGTGCATGCTGGGTGGGAACTGCAGGGTCTCTTTGGCCTCCTCAACCTCACCGCTTTTGAGGCCCATGAGGTACTTATTGACCTTCTTCTCCTGGCCCTTCATCTCCACAGACATCCCAAGCCGCATGGTCTTCTCTTTCAGTAACAGCTCTTTCCGTAGGTCATCTATGTAGGTGTTGGTGCTGACCAAGGATGTGGCCGCCACCACAACCAGGGGCAGCAGGGCTGGCCACCCCAAAGGAACCTGCACCGCCATCAGGATGCCTGCAAGTGAGAAGGCACAGGTGGAGATGGGGGACTCGGAGGGGTGTGGGTGACTGGGAAAGGCCACACGGCGAAAGGTCAGACTCCAGGAGCAAGGCTTTGGGGACCTGCCCGGCACCCTAAGCCACACACTCAAAACTGAAGGCTGAACTCTGCTTTCCTTCTCCCATTCATTCCCAGATGATCAAGATCCAGGATATCGAAAGTTTCTTCTCTGAGAACCCAGAGAAAAAAATCCCAATTACAGACATAGAGTATGAGGCTTCCCAAACAGCAAGCTGGGGCCAGGGATCTAGTTCAGTGGTTCTCCTGCCTGCCTTGAAAGCGCAAGGTCCTCGAGTTCAATCCCCGGTACCAAAAAAACCCAAAAAACCAAAAAAACCCCAGAAAAACCAAATACCAAGCTGCCATGAGAAAATAAGCCCTGCTCACGCACTGCAATCCAATCCGCCCCTCCCTATTGCAGTACTAGGGGACTAACGGGGCCTTTCCATTGAGCTACATCCCTGCCCTGGTATTTTTCTTTTGTTTTTTTGGGGGGGGGCGGATTGAGACAGGGTCTCACTAAATTGTCCAGGCTGGGCTCAAACTCCTGATCCTCCAACCTCAGTCTCCCAGAGTTAGTACAGGTGTGTGCCACCACATCCAGCTTTGCAAATCAAATTTTTAAAGTTTCACTTTTAAGCTAGATATGGCAGTATTGTGATCCCAACACTGTACTCTGGGAGGCGGAGGCAGCAGGAGCACAAGTTTGAGCCCTGCTTGGGCAACTGAGTGATTCAGCAAGACCCTGTCTGAAAATGAAAAAATATAAAGGGCTGGGGAGGTAGCTCAGTGTGAAAGCTCTGGTTCAATTCCCAACACTGTGAAATTTAAAGTTTTACTTTTAAATATAACCAGGGGGGCCAAGGATTTAGCTCTGGTTTTGCCGCCTGCTGCGCAAGCCCAAGGACCCAAGTTCGATCCCTGGTACCAACAATAAATAAATAAATAAAACCAGGGAACAAAGGATCACAGGATGTTTGAAGAAAGACTTTAATTGAGAGAGAAACCAAAACAAACAAGGAGGCCAGCCTGGTGGTGGACACCTGTGATCCCAGCACTCACCGGCCTGAGCCGAGACAATCTCCAGGAGTTGGAGGTCAGCCTGGACTACATGGCGAGACCTTGTCTCAAAAATAAATAAATAAATAAATAAAAACGACCAGAGGTGAGCTGGGACTGTAGACAGCAGGAGAGCTCTTGCCTATCATGCATGAAACCCTAGGTTAAATTCCTGGCACCACCATGAATCCAGGCGTGGTGGCACACACCTGTCATTTCAGTACTCCGGGAGGCTGAGGCCAGAAGATTGAAAGTTCAAGGCTAGACTGGGCAATTTAGCAATTTAATGAGACCCTCTCTCAAAATACAAAAAGGGCTGGGAATGTAGCTCAGTGTGAAGGCCCCTGGTACTGCAGACAAAGCAAAGCAAAACAAACAACAAAAAAGTGAAAAGAACTATTAGAAATAAAAATCTCATATGAGGGCCAGGGATTTAGCTCAGTGGTTCTGCTGCCTGCCTTGTAAGCACAAGGACCCAAGTTCAATCTCCGGTACCAAAAAAAAAAAAAAAGCAAAAAGTTCATGTGAAAAAAACTATATGAAAGCTCAGGTTGTATATACCTGTATCAAATTATCACACTATACCCCCAAAATATGTGCAATTATGTGCCAAAATAAAAATATATCAATAAAAACATTAAACCTGAAAATTTAAAAATTTGCTAAGAATATTAAATGATGACCTTGAAGAAAATCTTTTAGAAAGTAGGAAAAAGTAGGAGAAAAGAAAATGAGATGATTTTTTAATTCAGAAAATTCCATGCCCAAACAATGAACATTTCAGAGGAAAAAAAAATTGATGGGAAGAAAGAAGTAATTCAAGAGATTATCTCAGGGCTAGGGGTGTAGGTAGATGCTCGTCTACTAGCATGTGCTAGGCCCTGGGTTCCACCCCAGCACCAAAAAACCACAACGCCCAGGAACAGCATTATAGTAGTATTAATCATTAGCTTTGAGACCTTGGCCAAGTCACTAATAATGTCTGTGGATCTGTGTCCTTACCTGAAAAGAGACAAGATACTTGGATAAAAGATTTAAAAAGGGGGAGCTGACTTGGATCCCGAAGTGTGATGTGTGTGTATCATCAGGATACATAATATGATGTAGGCAGTTCACAAATGTATATGAGTTATTCTGATAAATATATAGAAGGTTTTTTTGGTTTTGTTTGAAACAGGGTCTCGCTATGTAGTTCAGGCTGGCCTTGAACTCACTATGTAGCCCAGGCTGGCCTCCAATTTGGCACAATCCTCCTGCCTCAGCCTCCTGAGTGCTGCATCATCACACCCTCCATATAGATATTTTTGTTTGTTGTTAGTTATAGAGGTTTTCTGAGACAAGATCTTGCTAAATTGCTCAAGCTGCCCTCAAACTTTTGAGCCTCCTGCCTCAGCCTACCAAGTGCTGGTATGTGGTAATTCGCCTGTCTCACATAGCTTTTCTTCTTCTTTTTTTGGGGGGGGGGGTATCAGGGATCTAACTTGGGACCTTGCACTTGTGAGGCAGGCGCCGGAACCACTGAGCTAAATCCCCAGCCCCTCACACACCTTTTCTATTTGATTTTGATGCTAAACCCAGGGCCTTGCACATGTTAAATGCATCCTCTACCACTGAGCTACCCCCAGCCCAGATACATGGTTTTTTTTGTTTTTTGATTTTGGTACCAGGGATCAAACTCTGGACCTTGTGCTTGCGAGGCAGGCAGCAGAACCACTGAGCTAAATCCCCGGCCCACATGGTTTTTAAATGTGTATTAGCACATCAAACCTGATGACACCATAACTATTATCATGATTGTGGCTGAATAAAATATTTCAAAGCACGTTAATTCCAAGAAAAATATTACAGTAAATAAGATGGGGCCTAGCATGGTGAGGAGGCTAGATCCCTCAACAGAGAGCTGAACTTTTGAAGACCTCCCTCAAGTTCATTAACTCTTCAGATCTCTTTTCTGACCACAGTGTTTGTCTCCAGGGACGAGGCTGGTGACATGCTGCAGACTCCATCATCCATGCAACGGCCCCAGCCACCACTTTCCAGAAAATTCCCATAAGGGACCACAAAGGCATTTGTACCCCAGCATCTAGGTTTTTCCTGCCAGACACGCGGTTAGATGAAACATGAGGAAAATAATCCCCAGCAACATTTAAATGCTGTGCCTACTTCATCTTCTCACCATAAAAATTTCCTTTCAATTTTGAAAGACAATGCCTCAGAAACTTAAAAATAGTTTGTGTGCAAGCTAAGCAGAAGGGAACGGACCGTGTCCGTACACCTGTGGCTGTGAGCCACGCCCCCTCCTCAGAAAATGTGCAGCCGCCTAGGCCGGGCAGGCAGGGTGCCAGGTGGCCAAGGCCCAGGGGTCTGGCACCCAGAGCACCCCACAAAGCAGCCGATTGCTCAGTGCCCCCTGCCCGAAGTACCAGAAGAGCTGCCAGCTGCGCTTCCTGCAGGGGCCGGTGTCACTGACCCCAGGCCCACCCGCACCCGGCTGTGGTGCGCATGCGCGGTCCATGTGCCTAGATGAGTTTGTGTCCGGAAGGGAGTGTTATATGTCTTTCGGGTCTTCATGTGCTGGTACAGGGGTTTATGCACATTTGTGTGTCTGAGTTTATGCATGTGGGTTTAAGTGTTTAGGGGGAAGGTTGTGTGTTTGTGTGTGCTCTGCCTTTGTAAGGTCCATACTACGGTTTGGAGCAATCGGCATTACACGGAGGTGCTCCTGAACCTCTTCCTGAGCTTTGGGAAGCGCAGCCATCAGCCAAATGTGAGTGCGGGAGCTGGGGCAGCTCGGCCATAAAGCTCACGCTTGGAAAGTGCCCGGCCCTTGGTTCCATCTCCAGCACGGAATAAAAGTGCTTGGATAGTGTGGCAGCCCCTTGGACAGAGGGTAAGGAGGCAGATGCAGTAGAATATAAAATAAAATGTGTAATCCCAGCACTCTGGAAGGCTGAGACTGGACTGTCTCAGGTTTGAGCCCAGCCTGGGCAACATAGTGGCTCTGAGACCCTGTCTCAAAAAACAACAACAAAAAAGAGAAAAGGCAGAGGATATAGTTCAGTGGGAGAGCCTTGGGTTCAATCCCAAGTACTGCAAAATAAATAAATGAATAGGAAGGAAAGCAGTGCTGCCAGGTCAGGACAGTGGTAGGGTGGAGAGGTGCAGGACAACGGTGGGTGTGGGGAGGACCAACAAGAGCAACTGCTCCAGCAGCTACGCATGGGGATGCATGCCTGTAGTCCCAGCACTTGGGAAGCTGAGGCAGGAGGATAACCGAGATTACGAGGCCATCCTGGGCTACATAGTGAGTTCAAGGGTAGCCTAGAATATACAGCGAGACCCTGTTTTTTAAAAAAAGGACAGCAAACAATTCCTTCGAGGGAGGGAGGGGAGGGAACCAAGCCCGATGTACAGGAAAGCTGCCTTCCAGCTGGCCAGGAGCCCTTGCCACCCCAGCAGTGCTGCCTTGGTCTTTTATGTTAACTTTACACTTACCCTTGGCAGGGGGTGGCGGGGGGTGGGGTGGGGTTTGTCCAGTGCTGGGACCCAGCCAGGGCCTGGTGTGGTCAGAGCCTTGGCAAGTCCTCTGCACCAAGCCAAACCAGCTCTCCCCTCCTGAGATTTAAATGAAGCACGCATGCAAAGCACCTAGCAAATAGTTCTCACTGCACCCTGGTGTCTCACAGACCACTTGAAATTAGGACATGTCAAAGGACAGACAGTAACCTAGTGCCCTGGGAGGCTGAGGCAGGAGAATTACAAGCTCAAGTCCAGCCTGGGTAATTTAGATACTCAAGGAAACCCTGTCTCCAAAACAAAAAGTTAAAAAAGGGCTGAGCAGGGCTGGGGATTTAGCTCAGTGGTGCTGCGCCTGCCTCGAAAGCACAAGATCCTTAGTTGATCCCCAGTACTGAAAAAATTAAAAGATAAATAAATAAATAAAAAGGGCCGAGAATGTGGCTCAGCCTAAAGGCCCTGAGTTCAATCCCCAGTCTCACAAAAATCGAGAGGCTGAAGAAGGGGAATGGGGAGTTCCAGGCCAGCTCGGCTACAGAGAGAGAATGCTCAAGACTGGCCAGGACTGGGCCAGGGATTTAGCTCAGTGTTCTCACCACCTGTCTCGAAAGCAAAAAACGTCCTGAGTTTGATCCCTGGTACAAAACAAAACAAAACAAAAAAAAAACTGGCCAGGACTACACAGTGAGACCCTGGCTCAAGAAACCAAACAAAACCAGGCTTGGGGGGTGGCTGAGTGGAACAGCATGAGCTTAGATATAGGAGGTCCTGGGTCCATTAAAATACATAAAATGAAATAAAAGACATCAGAAGATATCCACAAGTAATAAAGACAACCCAACTTGTACCTCAGTAGTAGAGTGCTAGCCCAGATGAGTAAAATCCTGGGCTCCATCCCCAGAATGTCATTGGCTCCAACCAATAAGGAAATAAACAATTGAAGCAGAAGGGTAAGAAGGACAAATTACCAATACTTTTTCTTAGCTGGGGATTTAGTGCAGTGGCACCACACCTGCCTTGCCAGCACAAGGTCCTGAGTTTGATCCCCAGTACCAAAAAAAAACACCAATATTTTTTTCTTTCTCTCTTTTGGCAGTACTAGAGATGAAAGCCAGGGCTTCACACATGCTAGGCAAACATTCTACTACTAAGCTGTGTCCACAGCTCTTTTTATTTTATTTTGAGACAGGATCTTGGTTAAATTTCCTAAACTGGACTCTAATTTACAATTCTCCTGCCTCAGCCTCTCAAGTAGCTAGAATTATAGGTGTGTACCACTGCATCTGGCCAAGCTACCAGTTTTGAATATAAATCCTTTAAAGATTTTTTTTTTTTAAACAGAGTCTCCCTAGGTACTTCAGGCTGGCCTTGAACTCATTGTATAGCCCGGGCTGGCCTCAGCCTCCCAAGTGCTGAGATTACCGGTATGTGCTTGAAGATTTTTTTTTTTAAATACCAAATCAAAACTAAAGCTAGGCATGGTGGCAAACACCTATAATCCCAGAACTGAAGAGGTTGAGGCAGGGAATCACCACAAGTTCAAGACCAGCCTAGACTACCTAAGGAGACTCTGTCTCAAACAAACAAACAAAAAAGATCATAGCTAAATGTAAACTCTTTCTTTTAAATGCTTTTGTCCAAAGTAGGTTTTACATCTCCAAGGTTGGCTTCAGCCAGGCCTCGGGTGCCAACCTGTAGTCCCAGCACCCAGGGACTCTGAGGTAGGAGGATTGCAAGACTGCAAATTCAGTCACTAGCAACTTAGTGAGACCCTGTCCCTAAGAAAGTAATGAATGGGGCCAGGGATTTAGCTCAGGGGTTCTGCTGCCTGCCTCAAAAGTGCAAGGTCCCGAGATCGATCCCCAGTACCAAAAAAAAACAACAACAACAAAAAGAAAGTAATGAATGGACTGGTGATGTAGCTCAGTGCAAAGGGACTGAGTTCAAGTTCTAGCGCCAGAAGAAAAAAAGGAAGAGATTGGCTCTGGGTACTTCTGGTCGAGCCTTAGCCAGGCAGTGAGAAGCTCCCTGAGGCTGCAGGGACAGGTTGGGCAAAAGCTCCTTGGTCTGCAGAGTTGAGGATCAGGTTTTGAATTGGAAACAGAGAAGAGAATGCCTGGGCACACAAACCTGAATGCAGCAGAATCAGTGACTCTCAGCAGGGCCGGACCTAGAGCTGACCTGCGTGCTCTTCAAAGCCACTGGGGCAGGGGCAGCTGTCCAGATCCAAGCTCTCTGCCTGTGTGGCCAGAACCTGGACCCGGGAGGGCTTTTGTGGCTGAAGGCATCTCGGAGGAGCCCCCTCCCAGGTGTGGCCCTGAGCATTGTTTAGCAGGGAAGGTGTGGTGTCTGACGACAGTGACAGCCTGTGTACAATGGGAGGCCATTCCATTTCCCTAGAACAATCCACCAAGTGCAGGGACCATAAAATGCAGAGCAGTCTCAATGTGTCATTGAAGATGACCATCACACTCAGACACTGGGCTGGTGTTCAAGGCAGAAAAAGTGACTAAACCAACTTTCTGTGGGGTTTTAGTTTTTGGTTTTTTGGTGGTGCAGCAAGGAGGGACGGGACCCAGGGCTTCCCTCATGCTAGGCAAGCAACCACTGACCACAACACTGAACCCCAGTGGAAAGAACCCTGCAAAGGCAAGTGGGTGATGATCCAAAAACCAGAGACAGAAGAGGTTTTGGGAATTCAAGATGGTCGAAGTATACACAAATACCGGGGAGATATTTTCAGCAAAGGCTGTCTTTCTATCGCTATCATGACTTACAAATTTTGCTGTATACAACCTATAGCAGAAAATAGGAGTTGAAGGCATCTGACCGCCGCCCTCCTGATCGGAGACCCCTCTAGACGGCCCCGCCCAGCACAGCTACACATGGGGGCTCACAACGCGGTCAGCTTCGCTGCTGAGCAGCCGCTGCTCCCATGCTTTCCCACGCCTGGTGCTTGGGTATCTACACCGCTCCCTTTCTCTCAAGCCTTGATCTTGGCAGGGAGCCACAAGCCCCTCTCACTGAACCCCTCTCCCTGTGACCCTACAGAAGACCCCATCCACTGTACCAGAGCTGCTGCTCTGATCCCTAGTGCCAGAGCGGTCCCTCTCCGGTTTGTTCTGCAATAAACTTGTCCTGTTGAGCTGGTACCTCTGTTTCCCCTTTTCCTTTTTCCTAACAGGAGTTACTTGTGGTTTAAGGCTTAAGGTAGTATCTATGCCAATTTTTATTACTTATTACTTTAATTATATAATTTATGGAATGCAGTGTAATAATTTAATGCATATATCATGTGATAGTGTATAATGATTAAGTCAGGGTAGTTAACATTTCCATCTTCTTAAACATACATATTTTATTTTATTTTTGGTCCTGGGGATTGAACCCAGGCCTTTGTGTGTATTAAGCAAGTACTATAGGTTTTTTGGGGTTTTTTTTTTTTTTGGTACCGGGATCGAACTCAGGTCCTTGTGTTTGCACAGCAGGTGGTGAAACCACTGAACTAAATCCCTAGCCCTAAGCAAGTACTATACCACTGAGATATACCTCCAACTCACTTTTTAAAATTATTTGGTTACCACATAATAATTGCAGACATATTTAAGAGACATGGTAAAGGGCTGGAGATTTGGCTCAGTGGTTCCGCTGCCTGCCTTGTAAGTGCAAGGTCACGAGTTTGATCCCCGGTACCAAAAAAAAAAGAGAGAGAGACATGGTAAAGGTGGATATGGTAGCATCCCAGCATTCTGGGAGTCTGAGGCAGAAAGATTGCAAGTTCAAACTCAGTTTGGGAAATTCAGTGTTTTAGTGAGACACTGACTCAAAATTAAAATGGCTGAGAAACTAGGCATGGTGACACACACCTGTAATTCCAGAGCTCAGAAGGCTGAAGGAGGAGGATGCCACAAGTTTGTTAACAGCCTAGGCTGCATAGTGAGTTCAAGGCCAACCTGGACTACATAGTGAGACCCTCTCTCAAAATACCAAACAAGGCCCTGGAATTTAGTTCAGTGGTGCTGTGCCTGCCTTGCAAGTACAAGGTCCTGAGTTCGATCCCCAGTATCAAAAAACAAAAACAAAAAAACCTCCAAAAACTGAAAACACAATAAAAAGGGCTAAAGATGTAGCTCAGTACAAAGGCCCTGGCTTAAATCCTCAGTACTGAGAGAGATGTAGGGTGATATTTCTTTGTTTGCTTTTTGGTATTGGGGATCAAACTCGGGACCTTGTACTTGGGAGGCAGGCAGCGGAACCACTGAGCTAAATCCCCGGCTCAATGTTTCTGTTTTTGTTTTTTGGCACCCAGGGGGTCCGGCCACACTGCCTTCCCGCCCAGGTAGGAGGGAGAGGAATTGAAGGCAATGAGAGCTGGAGCCTAAGCACCTCACCTTGGGGCAGGAGTGGGGCTCCCAACAGCAGATCACAGTGAGCAAAGGCAAAGGCTGGATGCAGGAGGAGACAGATTAGGCCCAGAGCATTTTCCCAGGCAGTGGGATCTTGTGGTTTCAATCATCAAACTATTCTTAAGAGAACAGAAAAGTTAGCTCTTTCACTGTGTGAGTTTGAAAAAAATCCTCAACATCCAGAGCCTTTAATCTTCAACAAAAGGAGGGCACCATGAGGTTTTTGTTTGCCAAATATGGCTTGCATGTATGTATGAAATAATATATGTGGAAATTTTAATCAATTAACTAAAAGACAGGCTACTGGTAAGTCGCCCAGGCTGGGGTTAAATTTGTGGTCCTCTCCCTTCTGCTTCCCAAGTAGCTGGGACTACAGATGTGTGCCATCACACCCAACTAATGTGAAATATTGTTTAAACTATGAATCATGCAACTACACAGTATAAGTAATAGTCCTGGAGCACATTTCTTGCAGGTGTGCTTTTTCTGGCTTTGTAGGGTGTGGTGAACATAATGTGGTTTATGACCCCACTTTGAGGAGCTTGCACATTGTGGCTGGCTCTGGGGTGCTCCAGAGGTCTGTGGCGCTGGCACCTCTCTTCTAACAGCTGTCGGTCACTCTGCCTGTGTCACCTCTTACCTATCCTGTGCCCTCCCCCAGTGAGCAACCTTCCCCCTCAAATGTGCTGCTTCTTCTTGTCCAAGAACTGAGGAGCTGGATAGCCAAACCTGCAAGGCCACATGTATAGTAGTCCCCAGTTCTGCGGGAGCCTTTCGGGGCCTGTGGAGCGGAGCAGACAGTATGCACAGGTATGTGGCCTGGGTTGCACTTAAAGACAGCAGATGGAATTAACCTGAGTTCCTTTCCAAAATCCACTCTACAATAAGTGAGAGACTTTTTATGATTTTTTTTTCTTTTTTGCAGTACCGGGGACCTTGTGCTTGTGAGGCAGGCGTGTCACTACTGAGCTAAATCCCTGGCCCTGAGTGATTTTTTCAAAGCATATATCCATAAGGATGAAGAAAACAGGTAAGGTACAAATAGAAAAAGATTTGAAACCTGAAAGGTACATAAGGGCTCAGTGGTACAGTGCTGGCTTAGCATATAGGAGGTCCTGGGCTCAAGCCCCAGCAACACACACACACACACACACACACACACACACAATGAAATAAAGATATCTTCCAGAGAGTAGAGCAAGACAACAGAGAAAAAAAGCTGAAAGGAAAGATCTTTGAAAGAATGAACAAGCTGGGCATAGTAGTATGTACTGAAATCCCAGCACTCTGGGAAGCCGAGGCAGGAGGATTGCATGTTTCAAGCCAGCCTGAGGAACTTAGTGACTTAGCAGGACTCTGCCTCAAAATTTAAAAGTACTAGGGCTAAGGATGTAGCTCAGTGGTGCTGCACCTCCCTGGAAAGCACAAGGTCTGAGTTCAACTCCCAGTACTGGGGGAAAAAAAAAAGAAACAAAAATATTAAAAAGTAGTAAAAGGCCTGGGGATGTAGCTCAGTGCAGAGGCCCTCAGTTCAAATCCCAGTACACAATTAATTAATTAGCTAATTTTTTAAAATAAAAGGATAAGTAGTTTCAGAAATCCAATATGTGAAAACTCCGTGTTCCAGAAAGAGAAAAGAGTGGAGGAAATCATCCAAGAAATAATTTAAGAAAACATTTTATTTTATTTATTTATTTATTTATTTATTTTTGGTACCAGGGATCGAACTGGAGTCCTTGAGCCTTCGAAGCAGGCAGTGAAACCACTGAGCTAAATCCCCGGCCCCTTAAGAAAATATTTTAGAACTGAAATGCATGAGATTGAAATGCCACATGGAGAGTCCAGTACAATAGATGAAAATTGGGCCAGGGATTTAGCTCAGTGGTGCCACCACCTGCCTTGCAAGCACAAGGTCCTGAGTTCAATCCCCAGTACCAAAAAATAAAAAATAGATGAAAATTAACCAAGAGCTGAGGGTGTTGCTCATTGGTAGGCCACTTGCCTAGCATGCGTGAGGCCCTGAGTTCTGAGCCCAGCAATGCAAAGGAAGGAAAGAGAAAATCAACCACACTGACATCCATCACTCTACCATCTCAAGCACTGAGGACACAGTAAAGAAAATAAAATCAGGGCTGGGGATTTGGCTCAGTGGTTCTGTCTTCTGTCTCGAAGGCACAAGGTCCCGAGTTCAATCCCCGGTACCAAAATAAATAAATAAATAAAAAATAAAATCCTCCCAAACAAGAGAGCAAACCAGGAAAAAGGAATTTAGGGGGTGGGGGAGACAGAGGCAGAGGAAATCTTCCGGCTGATGGCCACATGCAGAGCAGAAGGCTCTGAGAGTCTTCAAGGCAAGACTGAGTAGCACCTAACACGGCTGTCTTCCTCGGAGTTCCACGCGCTGCGGGTGTAGCTTAGTGGTAGAGCGCTTGCTAGCACACTGAAGAAGGAAAAAGGTAAAGTATGATAATGATTAATTCCTTGAAATACAAAGCATTGAGCAGAAAAGAAAAAGTTGTCATAAACCACACAGTTCCACATACAGTGGACCCTTGACTTACGAACTCAATTTATTCACGAGGGCTGGTCGTGGCTCAAGTTGGTCAGTGAAGGCTCAGGGTCCTTCACACAGCCTTCAGTCTCTCCTGTATGCAGGTAGATCTCAACGTCCATAGAGAGACCCTGGCCCAGACTTCTCAATTAACCCCACACGGGAAAAGATGTGACAGTGTTCCTTCCAGAACTCTCTAAGGGTTAAATCTGTATCTGAGACCATCTGGAAGCACAAGCGACTGGAATTTGGGTCATAACTCAAGACTGTGTT